TCTTGCAGCCTCGCAGCGTGACGTTTGGAGGAAGTCTCGTACGAAACTGCAGGTAAAACTGTCGCAAGAGAAGCGCTGTCACACTGTGCCTGTTCTGCTCCTATATGGCGGCAACTTTTGATTTTGCTCTTGGGGAATCTGTTTTGATGTAAAATTGATATCCTTTGTTGAATGACTTCTGTCGTCGCTAGAAACGCCTTTAATGATTATATGATTATTCATGAGATGGTATAGATCGTCAATGCTCTCTTCGAATTTGCCATGCAAGGTAGTTGACACGACTGCCGTGAGGGAGTACAAAGTTCCTGGGGCCGGTCACACCAGCGGCACGCTGCGATTTTTGTTGGAATGTTTTACTGGGCGGAGACGACCTCTGGCCACGACAACGCAGTTGCGCCGTCGTCGAGGGAAACAGACTGCCCCTAAGCGCGTTGGATATGAACTACCTCGTCTCGGCGAGCGAGTTTTGGGTCTGATCTTCGACATGGTCGGTGTAGTCATGGACGAAGACAACGTCCTCACGGTGATTGGTAACTCTACAGGGCACATCAAAGCTTGCATCGAAACTCTTGGTCTACATTCTTCCGTGCACTGCGCCTCCTACGGGTGGCATCCGCAGCAGCTGAGCGCGGGTGAGTATGTGGCTGTCGTCAGTCGAGAGGTGAGTGCTAATTTGGATTTGATGTCAGAAGCTCGTCGGAGACCCCGACCGACGCAAGAGCACAAAGTCGCTCCTGACGAAGATGACGACTTGGGAGCGAGGGCTGAGTTTGTGGACGTGGGCGAGGTGGAAGACCGATCCGATCTCGATGTGGACGATTGCCCGATCAAACCTGAAGTCCAGTACCAACCTCGCCTGCACGTGGACCAAAAAGATGTCTTGGGCTTGGCGCACAGATTGAATGTGAAAACCAGCGGTCCAGGCAGAACCAGTTCCAGCACCAAGCGTTCGGCTGAGTTCGTGAAGCAATATGCTACGAAATATGAGGAACTGCAGCAGCCACGCTCTTGTCTGCGCGGGCGTGAAATCGATTCGAAGACGTCTACCACCCAAGAAGTGTTGAGTGGCCTGCAACAGCAAAAAGCACTCCAGGAGTCTCGCAAGGATGCGGAACTGGGTCAAGCACATGACACAGACGATGAATGCGTTGGACACATCTCTACACGAGACGTTGAGGCCGGCTTGGCCCCTGTGGCAGCGGTGTTGACTTTGTCTCCGGCTGAGAAAGCTTTGCAGCTGGTGCAGCAGAAGCTACCTGTGCTTCAGTCCACTCACCAAGACGGAGCAGAGTATGCAATCTCTCCAGATCAGTACAATGCTGTGATCCTCGCCATCGCGCCCTTGCAGCGCCTGTGGAACAAAGCCAACGAAGCTGGACTGGCTCACTGCTTTGGAGATCGCACTCGACTTGACCCGTTGTTGGCTTTGGTTGAGAAGGATTACGGAGTCCAAAATTTCGCATGTCCACGCGCTTCCATCGACGGAACTAAATGTCTAAAGACATAAACATAGCTTGTAGCAAGGATACATGATTTTTGTATTTTACACAGAGAATGTACGAATTCATTTGCGCGATGATTAGACCGGGTTGGCGATATATAGATTTTGGATTGGGTTGTTGCGTGTTCCTTTTGTTTGTGCGCCCACGTAGGACATGGTGGCGCGTATTTTTGTGCATGGACCTGGAGGGAGCGGCAAAACTTTCATGCTGAAAGAAGTCATCCTCCCGGTCTACAACGAGTTTCTACCTGGGACCACCCGAGGGGTCGCTGCCCAAAACTCTGCCGCTCGACTCATAGGGGGGAAGCACGTTCCACCATATGGCTGGTCTCACACGGGCGCAAGAGCTGTTGCTGCAAAAGCCCTCTAAGACCAAGAAGGAGGCTTTGCAGCGTAAGTGGTGGCGGCTTTCGCTGGTCTTTGTTGATGAGATTAGCTTGACTGCACCGAATTTGTTGGCAGTGCTGCACGGATCGGCCTGCTATGGTCGTTTGGACCTGTCTCCGGAGGATTTTCTGAGTAACATTTTCGGCAATGTCTTGTGTCAGATTTTGGCTGGTGACTTCCTGCAGCTGAACCCCGTGCGAGCCAGATCCCTCATGGAAGCCTTCGGCATTGAAGTTCCGGGGGTGCCTCGATACGAGAAGATGGACGACCAACAGCGCAGGAAGAAAGTCGACATCGATGAACATGGACTTGCAGTCTTTCGCGCCTTTCTGAAACAGGTCATCTTGTTCAGAGGCTCTCACCGCTTTCGGAAAGGAGATCCGTTGGCCGAGCTCTTGGAGACGATGCGAGTGGTCGGAGGTCGTCCCTTGTCTGAAGCTCTGAAGGAGGCCATTCGCAAGCAGGTGTATCGCCCGCTGGGAGGCGATCCTCGTCTGAGTAGCGATTACACCATGGCTTCAGGCTCCACTGCGCCCACCGGTCCTCCAGGTTTCTTCGCGCGCGGTGTCTTCAGCGCAGTGAACTGGGACCAGGTAGCTCGTCTCCAGCAGTTGTGCGCATACGAGTCTGCTCGCGCAAGCTTTGGCGTTGCAGCTTTCCGCAACACCCAGACTGGACGTCCCCAGCTGATTCGTCGACACTTCCCGACGTATCTTTCGAGGTCCTTTCAGTCTCGCTTCGGAGCGGTCTTCGCGAAGCAGGAATCCTTCTTGACGTCGTTGCTACATGACAAAGGTCGTCTGCTCTACTACGTTCAAGCAGTGGATTTGGTGCATCAAAGTGAGTTCACCAACGACAAATCCATTCTGCGCGAGATTCTGGGCTTGACCAACATGGCAAGTAAAACTGGCAACCTCATGTCGTTCCTGCCGCTGCACTTGGGCTTGAAGGTGAAGGTGACGAAGAAACTTTTACCACCAGAAATTGTGCAAGAGTGTCCGGCCGAGGTGATCGCCATTCAATTTCATCCCAACGAACGCTTTGGCGTGCCTGGCGCGCCCGCTGGTGGTGGAGTCCCCGCGGGGTCGCATCCGTGCTGGGAGACTGGATATGTTCGCCTGGACTATCTCCCTGCCTCGATTACCTTGCGTATTGAGGCCTGGGCCTGCAGCTAAATATAATCTGAACGTCATTTATACGCGGATGTGACTGAAGACAGGTGTCCTGCGCAGTTTGTGAACATCCTTTTTTTAGACAGTTTAATCTAACATTCTGTGGGACCCATGCATCTCTGAGTCACACCTGACTTGCAACAGGATCAGCAAGAAGATTATACCGGACAGCTTCTGCCTGGAGTGTGGCATTTAGAACCGAGTGAAGATTCTTTCCGCGTGCAATTGCATCGCAAAGGAGCCTTGATGTTGGATGTTACTCGGATACAGTATCCTCTTGCTCCGCTGGCTGCTGGAACCTACAACAATGCCCAAGGCAAGACCATCAAAGGAGTTGGGCACACGATTGATTTTTCGAAGCCAGATTATTTTTCGGCAGACGATTATACGCAGCACTTGTACATGATTCTTGGACGCGCTCAAGCTCTCGAGTATTCCTTATTTCGCAATTTGCCGGAGACGCCAGAAGGCGATATTGATTTTTCGATCTTTGAGACTGGTCCACCTGCGTATATTGCCGAGTTTTTGGATCGACTGGAGGACTCTGATGTGCTTGTTGACTTGTTTAATGTGCTATATTGGATATCCACGGACTGATTCACCCTGCTCGAGTGATAAGATACGAAATAGCATTCCATCCGCATGCGGGTGTGTCGATCTTGTATCGTTGTTTGCAGGAGGTTGCGCTTTTGTCTCGCTCCGCCATCGAAGAAGCTCGCAGACATCTGCCTGGTTTTCCAGCCGCGGAATACCTACCGCGACCGACCCGCAGAACACCAGAGGGTCGCTTTCAGTACGTCCCAGGGGCTTGGACGGCGGCTACGAGGGCGAGTGTAGTGACTGAGTTCAGGGGAACGAAAAGGAAGTACGACCCCACCAAGTGGCGTCAGCTGCGAACGGATTTCTGCGACATCTGGTCTCTTGTGCTGGAAGAGGTGGCCGCTCCCACGGCACAATTTTTCCGAGAACACGGGGCTCTGCGTGTCTTTGCCGCCGAAGCTGGTGGAGGCGGCGATTGCTTCTTCTTGTCCACTGCGGTCGTCCTGATGCAGGCGCGAGCAGTCCACCCACGACTCTTGAATCTTTTCACTTCCGATGAGGTGACTGACTGGGACGACCGAACTACGGTTGCGGCTGCTCTCCGCAAGATTGTTGGGCGACACATGAGCGCCAAGACGCCAAAAGCATTCTTGAACTTCGTCATAGGGTGTTTGGTGCGCGAAGCTGCGAGGACATGGCTGGACGACTGGTCCATGATCGCACTCTTGCGTGGCTCTCCTTTTGCTTTCTTGAAAGACGCCAACGATGTCCTCGGAGCAGAAGTTGCAGACGACGCCATGCTAGTTCGCTACAAAGAGGGCGACAGCTCCGTGACGAGGAGCACGAGAGTGCGTTCTGGCACTGCGGCCCTGGTGTCTTTGCAGGATGCCGTGAGCACTGCTCTCGAAACTTGTGGGAATACTCATTGGGCAACGGACGTCGACTTTGTTGCGTTGGCCACGGAGCTCAATCTTGGCTTCATCATTGCTGGAAATACTTGGACCCAGACGTCTGTTGTTCGAGGCTCCGGTGACACATCTAACAAACCTGTGTGCGATAAATCCATACGAATGTTGGACTAATGACATAACCTATAGGATAGTTTTCTTCACTTCCGTTGTGTGTGTTTCATATACTTCTTGTCGATGCAGGCGAACCACAACAACGCACGGTCTTGCACTCCTATTTACAAGAAGATCAGACGCCGCAATTGTGGATTTCTCTGTATTATGTGGACGGTTATCATTTTCAAGTGCTTATTTTCGAGATTTTGGGACAATGCCATTCTTTCTTTCGTGCCGCGGATCTGCCAGAACCTTTACGCCAATGCTTGATTTGAATGCAAAACAAATATCCTTCATGATGAAGACAGAGCTTGGTGGTGAAGTCCCCAGCGCATACTGCCTTGGTGGTGGAGTCCCCAGCGCATGATGTCCAACAGCGTGTCAGAGAGTGAAAAAGAGATTCTGACCGGCTATGTGACTTTTTGTACACAGTGGTTTGACGTATGTGTTTGCATTCGGGTTCGTGGGCTCCATCTTGTTTTTTAATGGCAAAGCCAACAGGCTTCCAGCAACAGTAGAACAAGCAGGTACTTTGAAATGGCTCCGGTGGGCTTAACTATACCTTCTAAGGATGTATAGTTGGGAGCCAATTTTTATATTGCACGGGTCGATTCAAGGGGTGTCCAGCAAACCAAACTGCACTACTCAGAGATCTCCATTGGACACCTTGGATGGTCTATAGAAGAGGTAATTAGGTTGTGGTTCAGTTTTTGCAACCTCTTCTTAGGGAAGAAGTTGTGATTTCAGGTCGAAACCTGGAGTAGTCAAATTGAGTAGCCTGTGTTTTGGGTACCTGCGTCGAATGGTTTCACTATTTTAGAGATGTCGGCCGGCAGATGAAACCGTAAATTGGGGGTGGACACGTGCTCCATGTAGGCACAAACTCCAGCACGATGGAGTGCCTGGATGTGTTTGGCCGGGTTCTTTTGTGCACGGCTCCGGCGACGGACTCTCCCGTGGATCGTGGATCCAGTGGCTTTCTCATCGGCACACCGGCGATGGTTCAACACCGGGGGAACAACCGCTGTGAACGGTGAAAGAACATCTGGTGTAGCCAGGTCGAATCTGTAGGTGGCGTTTGGTATAGATCCACATGGGATCTACCTGAAAAACATCGAGGACCCTTTGGACCCTCTCAACCAGGATTTCCAACCTTCTGCTGTAGGCTTCTTGATGAACAAGCCAGCCCATTTGATGGAAACACCTCTATTTACTTGGGGATCTATAAACAACCTCTTGTTCTCCAAGCAAGCAACCTGTCACCTATACTATACATAGCCCTGGCTGAGGTCCCGCACGGTAGTGTCAACTTCCTAATCCCAGAGCCTCCATGGGACTGCCATCGGACTGCCGAGAAACGGCCAGGGGTGGTTGAAAGGGGGTCTGTCTGGGGCGGCAGATATGGCAGTCCCAGACAGGTCGCGTTTGGGAATCCAAGAGCCTCCATGAGCCGAAGGGTACCACTGGAGCACGCCTCTCTCCACAGCCCGGCCAGCCCAGGAGCTCTTCGTGAAGGTCGCCGAGGACTTGCACCTCGCGGACGCGGAGAAGCCACGCTTGCGGCACGGAGCCTTCGGCGTGGTTTTCACGGGAGGGCGGCGCACTTTTTGGTGGTGAAGGTGTCTATAGGGTCAGATCCTATGTCCTTTGTGTTTGAAGGTGTTTGAAGGCAGGGTCTTCCTATGTGGTCTTTTAGTGGTGTCTTCTGAGGTGGCGGTTCTTCTGGGGGGTGAATGATGTGAATGGTCAGTGCAAGCTTTAAGCATGATGATTATGATGATTGGCGTTACATTAAGTTGCAGAAACCCCATATAGAGGATTTCTACACAATTCACTCACCATGTATTTATGTTTATTTACATGCATATATAATATGAGTATATTGCATAGTGCATACCTGGAAGCTCATGCATTTTTCCCACGAAGGCATTGTTCAGTGATCTCAGGCAACTTGTAGAGGTACTCCATATCCTAGAAAATCTAATATATATATACACTGATCCCTTGAACGCATCCTGTGTCAAATCCCTTGGATGCCTCTCCAAGAAACAACGATAATGGAAGGTTTCCTCACCAACAACCGAGGCAAAATGATATACACAAGACAGCCATGGGACATGCCATATATGCCGCCCCAGACAGACCCCGCTGGCACCACCCCAACTGATCGGCAAGTATGGCTGTCCCATGGGTCGTGTTTGGGAACAGTATGCATTCCATACATGCAGTGCCCGACCGAGTATTCACGAAAGGTAGCTTGAGCTACCTGAGTTCACCTTGCTTTAGCAAACATGTATTACAATCAGGAGTTGGGATTGTGCATTGAATTTGGTCCTGTGAGAGATGATTCTGTTCGTCAAGGGGGGGCAAATCCCCCCTTGCCTGGATCAAATTCGCCCTGCGCCGGTTCACGGCGTCATGCACTTCTACCAGGGTTACTTGTGATTGCCTGCTACCTTTTGTTCACCCCCTCCTCTCTCAAGTGCGAGTATCAATGCCTTCCATGCTCAAGCAAAGCCCCTGTGGGCTTTGCTTGACTTGTCCGACTGCTCAGGAGACCACTGGCTTTGTGAATGGCCCAACGAAACTGAGTGGGACATGACCGTCTCAGAAGTCCTTGAGCCTGGAGAAGCCAGGGGTCTCAGTAGCCAGGGCTCAGTGTGACGATCTTTATAAGGGTGGCGGGTTTATACAAGATGTAACCTTCAAAAGGCTGGCGGCGGCTGGCGTAGGCAACCTGCTTGGGGACGTAGGCGGTCGTAGGCATTGTATGGTCTAATGTTTGTCGTAGGCGTTTGCCGTAGGCGACCGAACTCGACCGAAATAGCATGCCTTGAAGTCACCCAGCATGCGTTTCTGATTCAAACTAGAATTGACCGTGGCTTTTTGTTGTCTCAGTTTCTTGTAGCAGATGTCTTTCATCTCATAGTCTGAGACATGAACCAGGGCAGTTTGCAAGAGCACCTAGAATGACCACCAGAGAAAAACGCAAGACATTGCAATGCAACCACAATGCCAAGACTACCCGGGAAGTTAGAAAGGCCACTGTTTCTGTGTAAGAGGTGAGAACTCCCAACAATGTCCCAAACAGTGTTGTTTTCCTGGGGACATTTTCCGTAGGCTCACCGTAGGTTCTCCGTACAGGCACCGTAGGCGAAAATGCATTTGTTTATCCTTCCCCTATGTCCGCTTGCCTATAGTACTCTCAAATAGATGTTAAAACCTGCTGTTCTGAGAAGTATTCCCAATGTCGAAGACATGGGGAGACCAAACGCGTCAGTGCGCGTCCCGCGTGGTATCGTCCCTCGCCTCCGAAGTAATGTCCAAAACTCATGATGAGCGTGAAGTCGTTGCTTGCTTGTCAGTCTTCCGTTGTGAAGCACATAGCCAATGAAACCAACTTGCCCATCGTAGAGTGCCGTGCTCATCATCTGAAAGATAAAGGGTCAGCTGCTGCGTAAACGTTTCCACTCGCAAGAACTGCATGGTACTGTAGGCAAATTGGAACAGTAATGCTCCAAAACCTCACGTTTGTAGATTTCCCGTAGGCGATGTGGAATAAGCCATGTTTGTCGTAGGCTTTCACTGTGAAAACGTAGCCAAACCGTAGGGTTCTACGTAGGCACCCAAGGATGATAACACCACCCATCTTAAAAAAATCCCTGCTCATTTGGGACTGGCATATGAAACCCTACATCGACCCCATCTCGACCACCCCACAGTTATCTCCCTAGGGCCCTAGGGCTCCAAGTACACCCAAGTGCCTTCGTTTCGAAGGTGGGACTGCAGGGTTTGGAGGGTCCAGTCCTACCGAACCTGAGGAGGTACGACTGGAGCCCTATAGGGCGTATGAAAATGTCATACATGCAGTGTTTGGGTCTTTCATTGCATCGCTTTCCTGGTGTGGCTCGCTTCAACCCGAGAACATGGCCAGCGGGCGGTTGAAACCACAGGGGGTCTGCTGATCAGCATGTAGTTCCATCAGTCCCATGGGACCCTCAGTCCACCCATCGACCTCTGACATCAATCCACTGCCCTCACCCCCTTGACCCCCTCGGGCCCATGTGGACCCCTGGGATCTCCAAGCATGGAATCTCGACCTAGGGTCCTCCACCAACGCTGGTGTTAGAGTCCCATGGAGGGTGGCTTGGAGTGGTTTTTCACAGATCAGGCAGGCACCCTTTGGTCTCGCCGGGTCCTTTGCAGCTGGGACCTTTGCAGCTCCGTCGCTCCCCCCAACAAACTCCGTACCTCGCTCGCGCGAAGCGCTCTTCGTCCGAGCGGTTTCGGGCGAGGTCTTGACCCTGGAGGGCGTCCAGAACGCGGGTCGCGGTCAGCTTGCTGCACCTTTACCAGCTTCCTTGACCCGGCGCTCAGAGGTTCTGGCGCCTCGGCAGACACGAGCGCCAATTGGGGGCTGGCCATATGAAACCATATCACTTGGGGTATTTGGGGTGGTCAAAAAGGAGATCAATGTCAGTAACGTTTCATATGAAGTATGCCCGTCCGGCGGTAGGTGTGGGAATCGGAACTGGCCGAATTCGTGTCTTCTTTTTTTTGGGGGGGGCACAGACCGACCCCTGCTGGCGCAAAAACCGCGGAAAAACCGACCAGCAAGCTCTCGTGGGAAGGATGCCTGGATGCCCTGGGTTTGCTTGCAGAGCTGGAGCTCGGAATGAAGAGCCGCTCCCGGTCGACAACTCGACAAGGACACGACCACTAACCGATCCACGACCGCCGGACTGGCATACATACATTCCCATGACACGACCTGTCTGGGACTGCCAAGACGGACTGCCGAGAAACGGCCAGGGGTGGTGCCAGAGGGGTCTGTTTGGGGCGGCAGTCCTATGGAGTGTTTGGGATTGGGGGTGGTTTCAGAGGTTTCACATGCCGGTCCCATGGAGTGGTGTTTGGGGTGAACAACTTCTGAAGAAAACATGGATAATAGAGTCATCTTCCCGGAGAAAGAATGATTAAGGCCCCATATCAAAACCAATAGGAAAACGGTGTGCAATTGAAAAGCTTAGACGGTCTATTTTGTGGGGCCATCTTTGAACCAACTCTTGTTAACGTGGTTCTCTTCATGAGGAGTCGCCTGATCAGGTGAATGATTGCTGTTTTTCATTAGGAGATTCCCTCCTAGAAGCTGCACAGTTGGGATTTTTGATGTTGAACAATTGATACGTTTCTCCCTGAGCAAGTCTTGACAGCTGGAGATCAGTGCTAAAAAGAACTCATGTGCTTCTCAACGTGGCTTATTCTAACCAATTTCTGACTATGTTTGGGTAAGCTGACTGAAGAAACATGATTTTTTCAGCAGCGGCCAGTTTGGATGATGATTGGATGCTATATAATGATATACAGTTTATGTGGTCAGGGTCTATAAACCCCTAGGGCTCCAGGCCTACCTCCGTTTCGAAGGTGGGACCGTTTATGTGGTCAGGGTCTAGTCGGTCTAGTCCTATCTTCTGAGGAGGTACGACTGGAGCTTCAGGGAACCACATGTTCTTTTCTTCTGTTTGTCTTCTTGTATTTTTCTCCAGAGTGGCTTTTATCGAATTTGCCGTGCTTAGGAGTCCAACGCTGCCCTGAGCTTGATCGATGAGTGTCAGAAAGCAAGCCACTCGGAAACCTGATACATTTTATCTCCGTAGGAAAAAGACCCGTCCAATTGTGAGGGTGTATGACCAGTTGTCCCAGGGGTCCCTTCGAACCAGACTTTGAACAAAAACACGGCCATGCTTGTCCAAAAGGTTCCTACCAGAACGTGTTGCTTCTGTGTGACATTGTTTTCTCAACACCACTTCATACAAAAACACACGGCAGGTTGTTTCTCGCCAGCTTTGTTTTCTGCCGCCGTTGGGTCGAGGTAAGACTCCAGCCATGGCCCATCTTCCCCGATGAAAGGGGTCCGGACGGTAATCTCACCGAATTCTGTTCCATTGAGGTTCCAGGGAAATCGGTCGAAACGGTCGGAACGGTTCACTCCGACCTGTTTGCTGATGCTATCGATGCTTCTACTTGAGTCAAATCGATGCTGATCTCGATGGAATTGGCCCCCAAAAAGGCTAGCCGCTCGCCTAGTCGTTTGGTCCTCGTTTTTGTTGGGTGTCACACTCCAACAATCGCAAGCGTCTCCAGTCCCTAAGGGTCCAGGACCATCCGTTCTCGGATGTCCTGAAAGACCCCCCGGGCAACGACCATTCTCTGGAAGTATACGTACTCACCTCCAGTACCTGCACGCATATGGGAGTGATACCTCACTCCAGACGCAAAAGGAACGGAACAGTTTCGGTTCCTCCAGAAGTGACGGAGTCGCGCACTGGTTCCATGGCACTGAAGTCGCGACTGGAGTCGCGGTGGACTGGGTGTACTGGGTGTACTGGGTGTACTGAACACACGCAAGCAAGAGGCAGTGATAGAGTTGACCGAAGGATGTCGCCCAAAGGATAGAGTATACACTTGCCGATGGTGATCACCACGCCACGTTGTCCTCAGAGAATAGTTTGGAACATCTTGGAGCAGTTTAGAATTTCAACGTGTCCAAAGGATCAACTCCCAGGACCTTCAAAGTGATCTCTTTGGAGTTTCTGTCTGTGACCTTGAACGAGACCTAAGTGACCTCATCCTGGGATATCAAGTTCGGTCACGAACGAGTTCAGGTCCTGGTCTAGTAATATGGTTTAGTACGTGTCATATACCCGTCCCAGATATATCATGGCTTGTCCTTGTCCGACGTCACCCACTGAAACTCTTGTCTTCTTCATCGCCCAGACCGGACCGGAGCATCGCCCCAGGTCGAATCGAACATCGAAGCCTGCCAGGTCGTTGGCACTTGCCTCCATGAGCAAGGTATATGAGCAGCGGTCGAACACCTATAGCTCCATGTATGCCATATATGCCTACATTGACCCCTCAAACCACCCCAATCTAGGCATATGTGGCATACATGGAGTGTCTGGGCTATGGTACGGTGCCAAGTCCTGAGTGCTAAGTCCTCAAAGAGTTTGGTGAATACTTAGTGTTTGGTATACCCAGTGCATGCCAGGCGAACCACTTTTAGGAACCAGGGATTCGTGTGGTCTATGGTTTGAGTCGAACTGGAACCAACTGGTTACCAGCTATAGTGGTTTGCCTGGATGCCCTGGGCGTATATATATATATATTTACATTGACCCCTTGCCAACCACCCCAAGATGTAAATTAACATGACATACAGGGCCATACATGGAGTGTTTGGGGCAGCTTGGAACACGCTCTGTCTAGACATCTTTGCGGGTCGAGGCTTGTTGCCGAACCACTCGCCCTACGGCTCCGGTTACTGGGCTGCCGAGGAGCCTCGCAGAAAACGGGGGTTTTGGGCTTCAAACGCGTTAAACGCGTCCGCGGGTGGATGCGGATGGAAGGGCGATGATTCCATTGGCCAAAATCAGTTGCAAACCTAAAAGCCATCCTAAAAGGCCTCACTTACCATGGTTGAGCGTGGATGCGAAATCCAGAGTGAAGCCAGGAAGCTGAATGGGGGAGAATTTGGATCTCTCATGAGCTACTGTATCAGATTTTTGTAGGGCACTCAAGCGCGCCATGTTCTAGAACACGCCTCTAAAGCACTATCGGAGGTGGGGCACCTGTGTGCCACACTGCTGCAAGACATCCTCCGCAAGAGATCCTCCAAAAGCTAGCCGGTCGAGTGAAGACAACCTCACCCTTCGCAACACCTTCACAACCAAGTTTGAGTCAAACGGTATGAATTATATACCAGGACCCACAAGGGGTGGCTAATGGACACCCCTTAACCTCTAAGGAGCTATAATTAGACACCCCTTAGGGGGTCCTGGTATATGATACCAATGTTCATTCAGTCCGATGCAACCGTTTGAGCCTTTTGCCCTTCCGTTCAGTGTTGATAAGCAACTGAAAAAGAACCTGGAACCATGGGACTGCTCCAATGTGGAGATTGCCATACCCAAACACTCCGTGTACCAGCACCTTCCAACAGGTCACCTCTGGAGGCTTTTGTAGACTTAAAAGTAGCAGGTGGTGACCTGTGAAGTCGGGTCCTGGTATATTTATACCTACTTTAGACGCCTGAATTCAACCACCCCAAGTGATCAGTAGGTAGATATGCCAGTCCCACACGGCGGTTCGTGTGGCTTGAAGCCCGTTTTCGTGTGGGGCGGAGTGTTTTCGGCCAGCCGGAGTGTTGACTCCTTGGATGTTTGCACGCTGCAGGAGTATCAACAAGCAGATGGCCCCATTCAAAGCCCTTCGGACAGATGGAACTTCACGCGGCACTGGGCGAGTGCCATGGGCAGTATAAGGGCAGTAAAGGGCGAGTAAGGCAAGCACTGACGCCGTTCCGGCGAGCACGCACGCACTCCGGAACGGGCGTCAAAGAAGAATCATTGATGAATCAATCACCCCCAGACATGGACCCTAAGGGTCGAGGACCATCCGTTCTCGGATGTCCTTTGACCCCCCGGTTCGACCATTCTTTGGAAGTACTTTCACCTCCAAGACCATCCGAAAAGGAGGTACCTGGACCCTATGGGGGAGTGTATACATGTGTATACCAAGCTTTTCAGGCCTGGGACGGTTGTATAATCAGGATTCCATTTTTGGGGGTGCAACATTGGAATATCCCAGACACTCCACGGGACTGCCATATATGCCTACATTGACCCCTTTCGCACCACCCCAACTGATCGACATATATATGGCAGTCCCATAGGTCGTGTCTGGGTATTGAAGATGTATCATCACGATTCAGCTTGGGTACCCGGCCCTAACTTGGATTGCAGGTGTTCGTGGGCACACGCCGCCACACGCTGCCCAGGTTTGTGGCCGAAAGAAGAGGGGCTCCTGGTGCGACTGCCAGCGATTCTAAGCCTCTCGGACTGTACATATTATAGACACGCAAGCCAGCAGTGTTTGTGACGCACGACTTCCATTTGGTATGCCAACGCACATTACAGGGTTTGTTGATACTTTCATACCTTCAACGACCCTGCTGTATGCAGCTGCAGGCTGATAGTCACATCAAGATGTCACAGGAAAGGGGCTCAAATCACTAGTTTGAGCAGTATGCCCACGGCATGGCAGATGGGTCTTCCATGGTCCAGGACAACGAAGCGCTTTTCGTCTAAGTCCCAATCCGTGCTCACATGATGTGGCCTTTCATCCCCAGACACAACCTGTTTGGGACTGGAACACATGTGTTATGTTGAATTCAATCCCAAAGACCCAGACACAACCTGTTTGTTTTTCTCCTTAATTTTAGCATATGTTTGGTCTCCTCATGTCTCCTCCAATCAAATGAGCTCATTGTAGGGAAGAACGGACGACTATACCCTTTGACTCAGTCGTAAAGGAACCAAAAAAGGCCCGGAAAGGCCCATGACGGACTCTGGAGGATCAATCGAAGAGTCGGACGGTCCGTTCACCCAAGCCGACGACCATCGCGCGACGACTCGCGGTCCCTGTCCGTCACGGCTGAAAATAGGCAGTGCAAGCAAAAGTAGAAATCATTCCTTTCATTCCTTCTAAACAACACAGTCCCCCGAAACAGTGTGGGCACACTGAGGGGTTCTTACGGTGAGTGAAAAGCAGGTGTGCTTAGATCGCTGTTCCGCGCGGCCGTGTCCGGCTAATTCGCTGCTATTTACAGTATACATTCATGCCTCTCGACATGGTCCATGTGCATTTCGACTGCGCAGGCTCGCAGAATCTGGGTGGCCGCAGTGGGTGCTTCTAGCGACTGCGCTCTCGTTGTTCTGCCGTGCGCATTTTGGTATGTGGTGGTCACTTTTCGTGGCAGGCGCAAGGGAAACCTCGTGGCTTGGTGCTCCAAAGTCGACTTTTCGTGACAGGCGCAAGGAATCGGAGCTGTCTCACTTCGTTATGCAATTTTCGTGGCAGGTGCAGCACTTTGGACATGGCGGTGATCGTCGAAGAGCTCAGATTTCGTTACAGGTGCAGTGAACCGTGACTTTTGGACATGTGGCTCGTTTGCAGATTTCGTGGCAGGTGCAGCACTCTGTGACCCTTGCACTCGCACTCACACTCGCACACACACTCACTCACCCACACTCACTCACTCTCACCCACACTCACCCGCACCCACCTTCACTCTCACTCACCTCTCATTCACTCACTCTCACACTCTCACTCACACCCACTCTCACTGACACTCGCACTCACTCACACTCACCCTAAGGATCCGAGAATCTACTTTTCATGGCTGCCAGCCACTTTCCAAGGTTCTGGCCCCCTAGAAGCCAATGCTGGAAGATAAGATTTGTGGCTGGCAGCTAAGATTCATGGCTGGCAGCCACAAATCTTATCTTCTCAAAACTGGCTGGCAGCCATGAAAAGTAGATTCTACTTCTAAATGTGGCTTCTGCCAAAACTCATGCTACCACCTCCAAGAAGCGCTTCTGGGAAGTCACTTTTTGTGGCTTCCCAGAAGCGCTTCTTGGAAACATGCTATTTGATATGTTGCAGCTGTTTGGCTTTAAACAAGCTAGGTATAGATGTCAGGAGAAGCAATCAGCCTGCAATAAAAAACCTGTGCTCAGCTGACCCTGAAAAAGCCGGCGCAAGGCATGCATTGTTTTTGGATGTGTGGTTCAAGCATGGGGCTCTGAGCAAGCCTGTGGAAAGGCAAGCAATGAAAGAAAGCCAACCATAAATTGACCACATCAGAATGCAAGTTGATCGTGAACCAAATTCATGAATGTAAAAACTTTCTGAGAAGAAAATGGAAAAATCTCAAGACTGGAGAAAAGACCTCTGGTCTATTGATGGGTTTGATGCAAAGTCTGTTTGGCACTCCACAGCCTGCAGAAAGGCCAGTGAGAAGGCTTAACCAGAAGACACCAAAAAAGAAAGCCCTTCAGCCTGCAGAAGAGAAGCCTGAGCAAGGCCCAGCACCTATCACTTTTTTAGAATCCCCAGCTGCCATTCTACCATCAGACCAAGAGGTGGTGGAAATCGAAAGTACAGCTGCAAGCACAGCAGTGACACAACGAGGTCTGGAGCCTGCAAAAAGGCCATCGTGCAAAAAAGTGCCAAAGAAAGTGCCAGCCTGCAAAAGGCCAAGTGCAGCAAGAAAAGCCAAGGCATGTTGGAAGAAGAGCCTTTCCTTTGGGTTTGTTAAGGAAACCAAAGCTTCAAACAAGGCTTACATTGTGTCCAAGCCTGAAGAAGGCAGCAAGCCAACTTGCCTGGTGAATGTGCAATTGCCTAGGGGTCCTGACCAAGACAGAGTCATGTCTGCACTTATGGCTAAAGCCTGTGAAGAGGCAAGCCTGGAGAAAAAGCAGCTGGTCTCATACAAAGATCAGCTGCTGAAGGACACGCCAGCACAGCCTGCATAAAGGCACCCCTTGGTGAGGATCAAGGGACAGACAGCAAGCCATGGCGATGGAAAGGCGGGAGAGGGAAAGAAGAGGCCTTGAGCCTGGACCAAGGCAGTGCAGGGCAAGAAGCAAAAGCCAGCACAGGCCAAACCCTCCAGAACCTCCTAAACCAAGGAGGGCTCAGCCTGCACAAGGCACACCAGCCCAGCCTGAACAAGGCTGTTTCCGGAGCAATGAAGAAAAACCAAAGCCTGAACAAGGCCCAAGTCAGTCAACTGGTACAAAAGAAGAGACAGTTCCAGAATGCAAAAAGCCCAAGCCCAACGCAGAAAATGCATCAAAGCCTGCAGAGGCTGAGCAGGCAGTGGAGCCTGAGCCAGAATGAGCAGCCTGCACAAGGCCAGAATGAGCAGCCCAAAAAAGGACATGATGCTGCTCATGATGGTGCTGATGATAAAGGCACTCTGGATTTCTGAGTGGGCACTGCACAGCTCAAGCCTGAACAAAGGCCAGCACACCCCATGGCTGAAGCCTGAACAAAGGCCAACTCCACCACTGGTCAGCCCAAGCCTGAACAAAGGCCATTCAAAACCACAGCTGTCTTCTTAGCCTGGATAAAGGCTTGTACAGAAATGGAGCTTTGGCAGCCCTGCAAAAAAGCTCTTTGGGTGGGGAGTGGGGTTTTGTGGTTGGTTGTTGCTGGTAGTGGTGGTGGTTGGTAGGTGTTGGATTAGGGGAAGCCTGGAACAGGTATACTACTTGAGATGTGAGTGGTTCACCCCCAAGGTCTTGAAGGTGAGTGGTTCACCCCCAAAATTGGTAAGGTGAGCCTGCAAAAGGCCAGAAACACCAAAGCAAAAAGTACAAAAAAAGTACGAAAATCGTACTTTCGTACTTTTGTACTTTTTTTTATGCTTTTTTATATATTTCCTTTTAAATTAAAAGGAAATGTATAAAAAGTACAAAAGTACGAAAGTACGATTTTCGTACTTTTTCGTACATTTTCTTACTTTTTTGGGTCTCTCAGCATCTCTGCTGCAGCTTTTGAAAAATCAAGGGCAGGCCACCAACACACCAGAAAAGGACCACCGACACACCAGCACCTTCAAACAACCAACGCCACACAACAAGCACAAACACACCAAACCTGGCACCCACGCCACCTAGAAAGAGGCGGACCACCAGAGCCTGAACAAGGCACCATTGTAGTGAAGCAAGAGACAGCCACTCCTCACAAAGACAAGCCTGAGGAAGGCACCCCTACCAAGGATTCTGCAAGGGGCTCACCCCAAGCACCCAGAATCAGAATGAAAAATTTCACCAAAAGCTGTGGCCAAGGCCAAGCCCAAGGCCAAAGCCAGGGCCAAGGCCAAGGCCCAAAGTCAGCCTGCAGAAGGCCATTATGAGGCACCTGACAGGGAAGCTTGGAAGGATGTGCGCTATCAGCTGCAGAAGCTGGAGAAGGCTGGAGTCTGCACAAAGTTGGCCCAGTGCTGTGCAGATTGCGGTGAGCCTGCGCAAGGCATGGTGCCTCTAGGTATTCATGGTGATGGAGTGCCTGTGCTGCAAGGCAGAATGAACCAATCTAGCTTGGATTTCATCACTGTCAAACTCTTGGCCTCAAGGCATTAGAGTCCCCCTTACTTGCGTTGATGCCAAATTCATTGCAAGGCCAGAGACCACGCAGGCCATCTTGGAAGTTCTTGCTTGGAGCCTGAAACATTTGGTATTGGGAATGCAGCCTGCATTAAGGCATGATGGTGCTCCTTTCGAAGAATCCTTTCGATTGACAAGAATTGGCAAAAGCCTGCGCAAGGCTGTTGTAGTTATGATGCGAGGAGATTGGGATTGGAATGTACAATGGTATGGCTGTCCTATGCACAATGTCAAAGTAGGAATGTGTTGGCTGTGCTCCTGCAAGCCAGGTGAGTGGAGATGCCAAACATTAGATCAGAGAAAGAGCCAAAGCCTGGACAAGGCCCAATTTCTGGCAAGCCTGGAATAGAGAAAAAAGGCCATAGCACCACTTTTCCATGTGAACCCAATTACCAACCACACCATAGTCCCTGATTGGATGCGTGTCATGGATGAAGGATGTGGTGCAGCCTGTGCAGGGCAAGTTTTGAACGCTTTGTTGCCCTGCTATGAAGGGAAGAAGCCAGAAAAAGCAAGCAGATTGTGGGCACATATTCAGACTATCTACTCAGAGTTGGGTGTCCCAGCCAGTGCGCAATTGCCCAAACAGCCTGGGAAGGCCCCTGAACCTGCAGGCAGGGGATTTTGAGCACTTTGACAAGTGCACACGAGTTTGACACAGGCACCAGCCTGCAAAAAGCAATCCACAAAGTTGCCACCTTCACCACCCAAGTCTATCAGCACGTGGAAGCTTTCAATGGCAGGAAGCTGGCCAAATATGGAAGGGCATTGAAGAGCCAGTACATGGCATTGGAATCTCACATTCAAAGAGAAGATGAAAATGATGTTTGTTCCTGGCATGCCAAGCCTAAGTGGCACTTGGCTGAGCATATTTTTGATTTAGCCTGCATGCAGCAGTGGGCACTCAGAAGGGGTGGGAAGAGAAATGCAAGCAGTGAAGCAGAGAAAACCCTCCTTTGTTTCATGAATGACACACCCCCTCTGAATGCCAACTTGCCCAGCTCAGCCTGAAGAAGGCCCAAATCCGATGTCCAGCTTCAGCCTGAAAGAAGGCCATGCAACCATAGGTACAATATGTTTCACCTTGTCTCACACAGTTGTGCCAAGGAAAAAGATGCACATGCTGATTTGCAGAAGCCACTTTTTGTAGCTTCTAGAGTTCAAAACCCGGAAGCCACTTTCCATGGCTGCCAGCCTAAAATCTTAGCTTCCACCAGAAGCTATTTTTAAAAGTGGCTTCTCGGATCCTTAGGGCACTCTCCCACTCTCACACACACACTCTCACCCACGCTCACTCACACTCACCTTCACTTCATCACCACCTCTCTGGACCCCAATGCGTCTAGATCTCTAGACTTTCTGCTCACAGACCTCACACACATTGTTTGGGGTCTCTGGCCGGGATAATTGTTTAAACGACATCTCGGGATGATTCCGGTCCCAGGCAGCCGTCGCGTCCGTTTTCCATGGGCCCTAGGCACTGGGGAGTGCGAAATCATCGAAAATGACGCTCGGAAGGTCAGTGTGGTGTGCTCGGAAAGTGAACCGAACCCAGCGCAGCCAGTGATCCAGCGAAGAACACACACAAAAGGTGCAGAGGACCTAGATGGGTTGAATTTTTAAGGATTTGTTGAGGCCTTCATGAAAGCTGAAATGATCATCACCCTCCCATTTACATCCACGATGTGCATGTGTAATATATGGAGATTCATGGAAACTCCCATTTGCACCCCCTGCAAAATGGAAGATACTGTTTGCCTGTTTGCCTCAAAACCCATGTGCAGTACATCCCCAAAATGATGAATTTGTTGACCCAGGTCGGTTGGTCAAGTCAGGTAGTGGCGGGATGATTTTGATGTCTATTTTTTAGTACTCAGTACTACGTACCTGATTTTGCTTCAGGTGATGATCTATTTTCCATATCGGTAAATCCCCCTTCTGGTGAATATAGTGCATGTTTCCTTTTTTCCAGGTTCCGTAAGCAAATCCCAGACAACTGCAGTTTGAAAGAGATCTTCCCCGAACATATTTTGCGCACCATTCCGGCAGGAATATAATTAGCTGTGGTTCTTATATAATATATGTTCTTATGATGAGGGTTAATTGGATGCAGACTTCTATACCCACATGGCAATTAGGTTGAAGGCCATCGCTATGAGGTCGGAGGCCACCGCTATTAGGTTGGAGGCCAATGACTTCACTGCTACAGAGTCGTGGGCATTCAGATTGTTGAGCGTCGAGCATTGGTCATGGCAACTGGAACCCACCAAAAACCACCCACAGGACGTGGTCGTAGCCATCTAGATGAAGTTTTGCAAGCAGCAGCTTCTTTGACTTTGCTGACTGATATATGTGGACTAGCTTTGGCTGTTGGATTGACGTCTTCTCTTTATTCTGATCCAAATGATTCTGCTGCATTGACAGCCCTTGCGCTGAGGGCTGCTGTGGTGAAACGACACATCGAACACGGGATTGGGTCCAGGTTGAATGGGCGACTCCGCCAGTGCCAGGGCAGAGTTTATTCGAACCTTTGGGGGTGATCGCGCGCAATTTGGTGCAACTCGTCCATCATATAGGCCGAGCTCCGGTTTTACCAGACACCGCAGGCTGCTAACATGGTCATACTCGTATTTATTTACCAAGCCCCAGAAGACGCTTTCTCACAGGATGCCATTTGCTGGCAAATTGAGGTCATGGCGGGGTAGCCCGCGAACAAGACTGTGTATTCTTCAGTTCCTGCCGGAGCGCAGCTTCCGGGACATTGTCAGGACATCATCCACCCTATACGGTTCTGGGGCCGTACCCGGGGGTCGACATCATCCACCAGGATTGCCGCATGTGCGCCAAATGACTGGTAGGATTGACAGATCGTCAGCTGATGTCGCAATGCTTGGTATTGAGAAGCAGCTCCTCGTAGCTGAGTCATTTTGCGATAGCACATTTTGTGGCAAGCCTGCCATGCCCTTTGGCACAGGTTGGTGGGTTCACACCTGGCAAACAACAAATGGTCTAGGGCCACATGCTTGGAGAAAAACCACAGCCAACCACTTCGTCGACACCAACGCAGCTGCAGCTGATGCTTCAGCAATCTGGGTGAATCCGATCCTGGTCGCGCTCCCTGCGGTCAAACTTCCTGTAGACCTTCCGCCAAAGCGTCTCAATGCACCCGCAGGGGCTCAATTGCCACTTGCTCTTGGCCTCGGGCCAAAGCCGGCGTGGCCGATGGAGGTGGAAGCTGCGCAGTGAAGCTCCGCCTACTACGAGGTGTCTCAAAGTACGAGGCTTTGCCCAGATCCATTTGAGGAGGAACCCCCCCTTCGCAGCTCAGGAGGAACCCCCCTTCGCAGCTCAGGAGGAACCCCCCTTCGCTTCGCAGCCCAGGAGTTGATGTTTTTATATGTTTTTTCTGCGAATGACCATACGCCACCAGTGGAAATTCGTGGACTGCAGTCGATCGACCCTTAGTCCACCTGTCTTTCTTGAGCACCACAGACAGCGGTCGTTCAATCACCGATTCAGAACATCCCCCAGAAGGCTGTATAGAGCCACTCCGAAAAATTGGAAAGTCTCAGATTGAAACCCAACGTAGATTGGTTGGCATTTCCATATGCGCAGAGGCAGTGGGAGGCCATTGCTTCAATGATCCCAATCTCTTCAGGCCATCCAATCCTTTATGAATCTTGAGCTTTGACATAGCATGACATAGCCAAAGTATATATAGTCCATTATAGTTATAGTCCTATTAGTAGGTGACCCCATGTGCTGCCACATGTCTTGGTCCAGTGACAGACTTCAAAAGCAAACGCTCATGCTCACGACAAGACGAACTTGCTGCTGCTGCGGCTGATCCTGATTCCTGGGCTTTCGTGAGCAGTTCATCCACTCTTCCGATCTTGTAACCCTCTTTGCCATGCACACCGAAAGACGCCACAGCACACACAGCACCAAAGTTACCACGTTGAAGCCGGGCCAAAGGACGTCATTCTTGACAAAGCTCTATGGTGTCACCTGTCGGGAAACTGACCCACTCGCATCATCAGACCGATCACCGATTGTGTCTTTGCCTTTGCCGTTGGCAAAGGCAAAGCATAGCGTCAAGCAAGTGGTCGTTGAAGCAAAAATGTCCAAGGCCTAGTAGAGCCTGTTTCTTCAGGCGATTGTTCCGCTGAAGCCATCATCTCAAGATCATCAAAGTCTTCTTGAGTCTCACCTGCAACATCCTGATTTACGCCAGCCCCGACAGCCACAGGGCTATTGTGGGGCGTGCCTTGGTGAGCAGCAGCCAGGCCCAAACCTTCGCTCCGCGGGTTCACCATCGCCCCAGAATTGGCCAAACAAAGCTCTTTGATCAAGCTCTTTCTAAAGATAATGCCCAAGTATGCGGGAAGCATTGTGTTTAGATTCAGCCTTCAAGTGTACGAGAGGCAATCGTAGCTGGCAATCGTAGCTGGCAGCGTCAGCTTCTATCAAGCTTGGTCGGCGAGGATGTCCTGATTCTATTTCAACCCCCCCAGGGCGATGATGAAGTCACTACCCCAGGGCATCCAGACAAACCACGATGTCGTTGGTAACTAGCGGTTCCAAAGACAAAAACTACAGACCTAAGAGTCATGGTTCCTTATATATCCTTATATAATAGTGGTAACTGGGATCCTCTGGGTACCACGTTGCTTGTACTGCTGCTCGCACACTTGACCGGCAACCGGTTCTCCCTGGTTCTCCTTGCTAGTGGCAACATATGCAACCTTCTTCGGGGTCTTCTGCTCTTGCTTGTTGACTCTTGTGACGTGTCCTTGTTTGGCATCTCCTTGTTCTTGAATTTCTACTCTTGTACTGTTCTTGTGCACAGCTGGCAAACTGCGTTGATGGTCTCCTCTTGCCTTTCTTGCAACAACTGTCCATAGCAGTGGACTTGTTCCGCGAAAAAAGACGTGTCAGCCTTTGCAGCTCAGACATTCGCAGAAATCGGTCGCACGCTTTTACCACGCCCCCTTTCACCACGCTTTTACCTTCACCCCCTCCCCGTGTTCACCCCCTACCTCAGCTCCCCACGCGGAAACGCCGCCAAGGAGTCGAAGAGCTTGGCCTTCGGACCGCAGACGTTGCTGGGTGGTGAAACCTGACATGTGTCGTTTCTGAAAAAACAAAACATATTACACCCTGGAAGAGACCCACATGGAACCTGAAAATAGACCTTTGGAAAACTATTGTCCTCTACAACCCAATAGTTTTTAGGTTCCATGTGGGTCTCTTCCAGGGCGTAATATGTTGTTGCACTGCCCTTACATGTGCTGCACCTCGTTTTCTGACCTGATCTACTTTCGGATCAGGAGAAACCCATCAATTCGACCGATGGATTTCGTAGCAAACCAGGCTGGCGTGTTTCAAAGGCACGCGCCGCTACGAGCGCCTCGTGGTCCAGGCGCGGTGGCCCTGGGGGAGGGGCGGACGCGTGGAGGCGTGGAGGGCGGATGGGGAGTCTGCATGGCTTGGATTGAAGGGGGGTTGATTTGGAGGTGTTTTGTGTTTGTTTTATGTTGTTTTGTGTTTTTGCTCATGTTTTTTTTTTTTTTTCAGGGTTTTCATGGGTATTGGATGAGTCGAAAAAGCCAGGTGGATGGGAACAAAGGTGTTTGAAGTAATTGAAGTAGATGTTGAGGTTAAAAAGGGACCGGGGCGTCCTACCCCTCACATGTTTGTGTGTGTTGTGCTCCCGGAGTGCGTACCCAGGGTTGGATCCGTGTACAGCTGTGCTGATGGTTGACGGACGGTGGATGCCGGTGGATGCATTAAGATCACCTGCAGGCCATGCTTGACGTGGGTCGTTTGTGAGTGATCAGTGGCTTGCCGCTTGACTTTTGGTGATAAATGGACCAAGTGAGAGGTGTTTTTGTTTGAAGATCCGATGTGCACAGAGGAGGTGGGTGCGTTTGAAGTGTGTGATTGCAAAGTGCCATGTGAACACCTTGCCCATGAAGAACAAAACATATATGGGTGGGTGCGCACTTTGGAATACTATAACTGAACACAGCGCAAAGATGTACTCTTGCGGGAGTTTGGTTCTCGCTGCCACACCGATCCGTCCAAATTGCTGAGTCAGTCATGCAGAGTGGTGCTGAACTATCCAAAGAAATTTGGAGCTGGCCAAAACCTAAGACAATCCTAAAGAGGAAGAAGACATGAGTTAGGACTGGCTGCTGTAATTATGGATGTTTGATTTTTGGGCTCTCACTTGTTCTCAAGATAATTGTTTTGACTTGACTTGATTGACTTGATGAGGATCTTTGGGAGCATATTCCAAGGAAGGTGATCTGCAGTGAACGTGTTGTATTGTCGCCACACCCAGTCAAAGGAAACCATGCAGTCTTGGGCTGCAAGCAAGATTGGCACCCCTCCAAATGTTGTGCAGCTAAGCATCTCCCCGAACTCCAAAAGAAAATATAAACAAACACAAATCCCCCCTCCAAGCTTCTCAGATTCACCACGGATCAAACTAAACAGCTATGTTTGCCATTCCGCTCCGCAGAAACTGCAGCAGAAAACGCGAAACCGCCGCAGGATGAGACGCTGGCGGAGCTGCTTTGGCGTCGTGCGAAGCCCTTGATCTCTCAAGCGCTGGCGGAGCGCTTCGGAGCGCTGCGGCCCTTGGGCCGCTCGGTGTGGGGAGCGGAGGGGAGCCGTGGGGAGCCGTGGGGTGTAGACCTAGCATGGGAGGGGTATATGAAACCATATTGACACTATGGTATTGAGATACCATATATATACCTTGAGAAGCCACTATGTTAAACCATATGAATTACAAAACGTTCTACTTTATAAACCATTTACACGGCCGGTCCGACCGGTCGGTCCAGTCTGCTTTTTTTTCCAAACAAATGGAGTAGTCTGAGTCAGACTCAACGACAGCAAATGGAGGTCTTTGACCGGTTGAGGATGGTTGAACAGATGTTGAAAAGGGGTCAATCAATGTACATCATACAGAAAGACATATATGTACATGTGCACTTATAGGCATATCTTCCGGTCGGAGTCTCTACATAGCTTGGTTGACCCGGACCCTATACTCACGGCTTTTCCGGCTTGTCCGGCAAAATGATTCCCGGATGCAGGATCTCTGTCAACGGCTGTTTGATGTTGTATGGATCAAGTTGTCAACATCATGAGTGGTTTGTTTGTTCGGATTTACATGGCATTCTTCATTAGTAATTCATGCAAGGCCAGCCACGGGCGAGACGCCCTCGGCGAATCGGAAAGAAAGAACAGATTTACGTGGCCTTTGTTTACCCTAGGGATCCAAGCACCTTCTAAGAAGGTGTTCGGGATGGGTTTGGAGTGTCCAAATACCTTCTGAGGAGGTACTTGGAGCCCTAGGGTTATGGACTCTAAGGTTGAACACAATTTCATGTCATGAGACGAGTCGCAGGGCGTCGCAGAAACCGCAGTGGCCATGGCTCGGGGGGGCATAGATGTCCCTTTCGACGTCGCTTGAACAAGGCGTTGACGTCGATCTGTTGGGAACCTCAAGGCGTAGGATCGACGTTGATGTTTCTTCTCCACGACTAGTCGTGGAACTTGTCTTCCAATGTCGAGGCAGGATGTTTTCAAGGAACAACACACCATGTCATCCTAGGCACTTGGAATTGGGTGTCTTGATGATGTCTTCATCCTAGGCACTTGGGTTTTGGCAAAGTAACTAGGACGAACTTGTGGCCTCAAAGACACACGAACAACACACGATGAGCTCGTTCACGCAGGCACCAAGAAATGCATGCACCAACGAATGATAGATTTATCCACGTGAGACCGTGCTCTCATGATCCAAGAACTGTCCTTTTCCCAGAGGATCCCAGTTGCCACCACAAGGAACCATGACTGCAAGGTCTGTAGTTTTTGTCGAACTGGAACCACCGGTGACCAGCGACATCATGAGATGCCGTGGATGCCCGGGGTAGCGACTTGGTGCTTGTTTTCCACCTGAGACCATGCATCCAAGGATTCGGCTGTGTGCCTCCCTCGCACTGGGAAGGGGACAGATCAGCAGGGCAGGCAGAGGGATTCCAGCTGTGTTCATTGTTCAATCAAAAAAGCCGGTTGGGCATGACAGGACAGTTGGCACCACTGGACGGTTGGCAAAGCAGCAATCTCTGGGTTCCCCAGATGATGTGCTTGTTACTTCTTGATTGAGAAGGATGACGTTCCTTTAACTAGGGCCGTCATCTCGCTCCCGGGCACGATCATGACGGTCTTTGGGGCCTAAAGCCGAGAAAACTGGTCTTCAGGTATTGTAGGAGACCAAAACTAGCAAACCGTGGATGGTCCTCATATGTCCTCATCATTGGTTGTCAAAACTCACCTTCCGAGCCTGTAGCGCTGTAGCCCATTTGAACACCAACTTGGAGACAGCATGAGAGAGATAGAGTGACGAGAATGCCCGGGGAACCGTTCCTTCTGGCCAACCCGTGGATGACCGCCCGACCATCATCATCATCATCGCTGCTCATTCTCTTTTTTCAGCGGCTCATCCGGCCGCAAAAGGGGGCCCTAAACCTCATTGCCCAGAAACTCCATGGGACTGCCATGCCGATCAATTGACCCCTCTGGCACCACCCCTGGCCGTTTCTCGGCAGTCCTATGGCAGTCCCATGGAGTTGGCCTAGCTCATTCATGTCGACTGGCTTCGTCCCTCGGTTTCGCCGGCGGGTGCGACTTTCGGCCCACCCAGGCGCATGGGGAATGGGAGTTGAGTGGCTTAAACCATTGCTTCAGGCCGGGTGTTGATCGAAAAGATCGGTGAAGTGTGGAATCCGAAAGGAAGACCAATTTTCTCATTACACTCCCTGAAACAATCATGGAAGTGAAGCATCTGGAAGACCAATTGTCCTCTACAAGGGGGGTTTGCTCAGCTTCCATGATTGTTTGAGGGAGGGTACTATATTTGTTGGCCGTGCGTTGGCCACTTCTAATTATGATATATTATGATTGGAGGGAGGGAGAACAAAACGGAAAGGATTTGAATGGAGTTCCGCTGGGCATTGTGTAGATGCAAACAGGGGAACTTCTTAGGTGGTGCGGTTGAACGGTTCTCCGGTTCCAAAAGGGTTGAAACCCCAAACACAGTGGCAACATGAGTCCAACATGCTTGGTATATTGAGATCTTTGTGAGACAGAAGCATACCCCAGACGCTCCATGGGACTGCCATATATGCCGCCCCAGACAGACCCCCAGACAGCACCACCCCTGGCCGTGAAATGAAGGCAGTCCGTCCTGGCAGTCCCAGACAGGTCGTGTCTGGGTACATCATGATATCCAGCTGTTGGTGGGGAGGACTTCAGAACCTCACTCCACATGACTCCGTCGTCGCGCGGTGGAGAACGTCGAGTGGACCTGCAGGTCGGTCATCCTGCGGTGCGAAGCAAAAGGGATCTGGCCATGAGGGACGAGGAATGGCCGTCTTTGAGAATGAGGGACCCCCTTGAAACCTGGATTTTTTTTTACTTGTTTGTTTTCCCAGAGCCCCCCTTTGGATGGTGCTTCGATGGCAGGTCTGAGTCAAGTCTCCAAGCTCCATGGTCAAAGCAAGTGGAACAGACTGGTCAGCGAGTCAAACCGTTTCTGGTCCACTGGTCCATTTGAGTGAGTCGTTTGTTGGAGCTGCTGAGCTGCTTGAGTCAAGGCCAGGCAGAGGCCCGTTCAACCCTGGCCACTGGGGAAGCCAAGGAGCTGAGGGGGCTACGGGGGGGTCCCGTTCAACACTTGCTACACGTTGGATCTGTCTACCTGCCAACAAGAACATCACTCCCAGACACTCCATGGGACTGCCATATATGCCTACATTGACGCCCAAAACCACCCCAATGTAGGCATATATGGCATACATGGAGTGTCTGGGACTCTTTTTGAACAAGGCCTGCAACTGAACCATCATCATCCACTGGGCCCAGGTATTAACTATACATGTCTTATAATCCGTTTCGCCACCGCTGCCGCACGCACGCTCGCTCGCCGTCGCTCGTACCGGCTACGGCACAGGGTGAACTCCTATGGCTCGGAGGGTTTCCTGAAGCCGCACAAAGATGCAGCTGGGCTGACAGTGGATGCAGCGTATAGTCACTGTCACGAGGGTATTTATTTAGTGGTGAAAACCATATTTAAAAAAAACAGACTGAAACCCTAGGTCCTTCTATAGTGGTAGCTGGGATCCACTGGCTGACAGGCAATCAAAACGGACCATTTTGCCCCAAAACGTTTTTTTCAAGCGAGTCAATCCCCGGTTTGGGGGACCATGGTGTTTTCCGGGCCTTTTATTGCAAGGTTTCATTGCTAGGTTCCAGGCAGAGAATCCAATATAGGCATTTTGATGATCAGGGCCTTCGAAGAAACACAATCATTTGTTCGGGTGTCCAAACGGACCTTGATGATGGCAACCCATTCACCTGCAATGATGGCTCCGTCGGGGGGCCATCTGAAGATCCAGGGTTACTATATGAATTACTATGAGTGTTGGGTTTGTCTGTCCTATAACCTTTAACAGGACCCGTAAACAAGAACAGTACGTCACTTACGCCTGTAACTGAACCATCATCATCCACTGTTCAAACTATGAGTATGATCGGTAATGATTAATGATAGACGGTGCATAATAAGCCGAGATAATTAGTTATTTACCAGGCTACCGCCTGCAGCCGCCAACCCCCAAGGGAAAAGCTAATTAGTGGCAGGGTTGGGTCCCATTCCTGCCCTAGCCTTTAGTTAGCCTTAGACCTTAGCCTTTAGCTTTAGCCTTAGACCTTAGCGCTAGCCTTAGCTTTAGCCTGAGACCTTAGCCCTAGCCTTTAGCTTTAGCCTTAAGCCTTACCTCCCCTACCTCTCCGGACCCTTGTTGCAGTGACGAAATCCGCCAAGATTGCGACGTGGATTGTCCAAGATTTTGCCATCCCAATTGATTTACATCTTGGGTTTTTTTCGTAGAAGGGAGTTGTAGGATGTCAAAGGTTGTTTTGGGTTCCCAGGTTTGCCCAGAAAATTGCTAACCTATTTTCTTCCATTGTTGTACTCATGCCTTTCATGCGCTGGACGAGGTCCGGCCAGTGCCCGTGGTAACGTGAAACGCTCTGGCAAGATTTTCGCATGCCTGTCAGGCGCCCGTGTCCGCGCCATGTGGCGTGTTGGTTCTAGGACGGAGCAGCGCAAACGGAAGCTCGGGCAGGTGGTGGCGAGGTTCTCGCGCCAGTGAGGGAAGAGACCGTAGCCATGTACATGAGGGCGGCACGCGCGCGTGGCGGAATGTCTGCAGTGCAGTAGGCCGGGGGGGGGGACGGAAGGGTGTGGAAGTGGGTGGTTCCACGGTAGGAGGAAGGACGTTGCCCTGGATGTGGGGAGGGTAGGGTTTCCTGGAGCACCCTTTGAGCAAAATGCAGGAGCCGAGAACAGCCTCCGTCACCAAAGTCGTCGGGTGAGAGGCAGCCGGTGTCTTTGTTATGCGTTTCCTGGGGGAGAAGGGCGCTGCCTATGGTGTTAGCTAAGTCGTGTCAGCCAGCGAGGGCGTTGCCCATGTATGTCCCCCTGTGCAGGCCATGGAAAATTCTTGGAAAAGCATCCAGCCGAAAACGTAACAAAATCTAGACAAAGCCTAGAGCATTCCTAGCATCCAGCCGAAAACGTAACAAAATCTAAACAAAGCCTAGAGCACTCCTAGGAAAAATCAAGGGCATTGGCCGGGAACACTGGAATAAAATAGGTTAGCAATAGGTTAACAATTTTTTGGTGAAATCTGGGAACCTCAAAACAAGAGGAAATGCTAGAAAATTCTTGGAAAAGCATCCAGCCG